AGTCTGCTTCCAATTGATCGTCTGTCGGCTTTCTATCCGTGGTTCAAACTCCTCAACATACTTCTGCTTCCACAAGTCATCATTGGATGTCAAATACCAAAGTTCCGAGCATACACACCCTGCTCTCGCAAGGTCAATACCAGAAAGCGATTCGATAATCTTGAGCTTCAGTTCCGTTGGAAGGCGTGTGAAACAGGACGGGAGCGGCAAACCAACCCTCTCGGTTAGGTCTATTAACAGAGGCAATGCCAAACCGTCTTTCACAATCTTCCAAAACTCAAACACTTCTTTTTCGGAACTCGAACTCGAAGAGCCACCATCCTCATTCACTTCCACACCGTCATTCGCCCACATCACATCTATAATAGGAGCAAACCTACGCTCATCCAAACAGATCCTACGCAAACCCGACTTGGCCTTAGCCAGAGACCCATACACAGTTATGAAATGACCTAGACTCTGAAACTTCAAAACAACACTCTCAGGCATATTCAGACTCTGTGTCCCATCCACAACAAGCTCGGGCAGACTGTACTGCAACGAGATGGTAAAGGCCCTAGACGGCCATTCACCAGGGAGATGAAACCGGTCGGCACGCATCCCGGTCACCGGATCGACCGCGACGAAACCGGATTCCAGCAGGACCGCGTGCACCGCAATAACCAGAAGCCGATGGTCACCGCCGTCGCCATCCAGTTCTTCCCTCAAAACCCTCCTCAGAAAGTAAGGCTCGGAGAACCTACTGCGAACCACAACCGACCCATCCCCAGCGACGAAACCCTCCCCCTCAAAATCATCACTTCCAGAGACAGAATTACCTCGCTCCTCGGCGCTTCCCGAAGCATCGACTTCCCGCGCATCGTCTTCAGGAACCGAATCGATCATCTCCGAATCGGGCAAACCTTCGGGATCCATGTCCGCGTGACCCCGAGAGACCTGACTCGATGCACCTGCAGAGAAATTGGGGTTCGAGGAGTTATCATCTCCCCGACTGACGGAGTAATAGACGAGGTCGCCGGACGCGAGGCCGAGGGACTGGAGGGAGCCGGCGGGGTCCGGCGACCGGAGCTCGTCGGTGCGGTTGAGGGAGAGGCGGAGGGACGAGCCGGGAGGCGGCGGCGGAGGGGGGAGGCGGTCGGCGAGGATCTGGCGGAGCTGGGGGAGAGAGCAGGGGTCGGGGACGTCTAGCTTGAGGGTCTCCTTGGATTCCAGAGATCGGAGCCGGAGCTTCATGATGACGATGATGATCAACCGCAGCGATGTTTCATCCCGTTCGTGTGGGAAGGGGAAGAGCCAAGAGGAGTCAAAGTTCCCATCTTTCTCTTAAATTAAAGAGGAAGAAGAAGACCACCGCCTTTCGGGCCCATTACAAGTTTGTTTCAGGCCCAATAACCATCAGAATCAGTTCTAAACTTCGCCACTAAGGAATGCCTGCCTAACATTCTCATTGCATTTCCCCATTTATGGTTTTGCCCGAACTAGGGGGCGAGCATGGTTTCAGTGTAGACTTTGGAATAGAAAAATCGGACCGGTGGGAACCTGTTCGGTTTTCGGGTTTTAAGATATGCAGAGTTGATTCCGGATTCTAAAAATTGGGGAACCTATTTCGATGGGTAGGTTTTAAGTTCTAGGTAAGTGGAAGATGGAACTTAGAACTTGAAACAAGTTTTTACGGTTTTTTTTTTCTATGTCTTCGCGTGATCCTGCGGTATTCCATGACATCTGATGATGAGTGTATAATTTAGAATCACTTGTATGAGTTTCCATTTTATGATCGAGACTTTTGATTTGTTAATATTTTATATTTTTCGTGTGTCAAAATATAAATCGTGGTCAGTCAATCGTAACAGCAAGTGGTGGTCATTAAAGTTGTCTATTCACTGCAATCGTTCGATTAATGATACATGTAGAACCTGGGTAGATCTTGGAACCTGGGTAGACCCTGTAACATGGTAGATTTTAGGTTCCGGGGTATGTAAGGTAAGTTCCAGGTTCAAAAAAATGATGAACCTGTTCCAACTAGTAGGATGTAGGTTCTAGGAGGAACCGGAACCTGAACCTGAAACCGCTCATCCTTAATCAGAACTATCGCCTCGCCACAGCTTCATTTACAAGATTTTGTTGCCGCCCCCCGTCCCTATTTCCTCACGGGCAATTCGCAACATTGTATGTTGAAGAGTTATCAGGGCGTCACACATGCTATATCGTCATTTCTGCCTCGCGGTATGGGGCTTCAAATTTGCCGCATGACCTCAGGCACTATATTGTAATGTGTTGATAATCTATCGCAGTTGATGGAAACGGCATTGAAGATAAAACTGAGAAGTGAGCTTTAGCTTACGAGGATGGATATGAGAAAGGAATCTAGGAAGTATGTTACTGGAGATGAGAGGATTATCAGGCTGGTATAGGTTCTCTCTTCTTGATTCCCACTTACTTATGTCTGCAGGCAAATGAATGAGCCTGTGATTGTAGCCTTCGCAACTTATCGAGTCCATGGTCGAATTTCCTAGTCCGACCCGGGGGAAGGTACTATTGCTAGGAATGAATTTTGTCATATAGACAGGCCACTTACATTCACCGAGAAGGATATATCTAGTTACCGGCAGATTTAGGGTAAATGTATCGTAGTGTGGGCATAATTTGGAGTTTTTGACGGCTTTTTCCCTAACAAAAACAAAAGCTACTTGGTAGGATTTGGAGAATGCACATATGGGCCACGGAGACAGTATGGCCCATTCACGAGTATTCGTTGTTTCTCCATAGCCCAACAACTCGTCCCAGCTTTCATATGGTATCGGTAGGCTACTCTCTACACACTCTTTTGGCAAAGTTGGGATTGAATGGCTCGAAACCTGTCTATATCTAACCCAAAATTAAAGTCTAAACCCATTTCATGATTTATGGATCGCTTGGGACGGATTTTTACCATCTTTATGCTCCTGTCGATAACTTGACCCCCGAGCTCCCTCGCTAACTCAACGAGTCGGTCCATGAGGTCGTTCATTATTCAAAGGCAACAGTGTAAGGAGAAAAATTGCTAACAATAGATTTGAAGGGGTCGGATCAGATATAGATCGAGTGTGGGCCACTAAATCTAGATTTCGTATATATGGGTCAATTTGGGTCGGGTCGACTCGACCCGCTCATTTGACAAGCGTACCTATCAACCAATATATGTTGCTAAGAACACCTCACGACATAAGTGCCTTGAATTTACAATGTCGTAAGTCGTCACGCGAATCTTCCTATCGGAAAACGGGTTTGGTTTCTTCCAAAACAGAGCACCCACCAACCGAAAATAACCGAAGGAACAATAAAATAAAAACAAGAACCGTTGATACAATCTTAAAACAATCATGTGTTGATGGTTTCTCAGCCTCTCCGAGAGGTGGAATCTCGCGATGATCGTTGGAAAAAGAAAAGGAGGAATTGGCCTAAACTTGTCACAAAAGTCTCGACACGAACATCTGACCAAGTAGAAGCTTCTCATCCAAACCATGGTGGGCATGCAGATTGCATACTTATCTTCGGTTGGAGCATAAATTCTTGCCTTTGTTTGTTTTTTTTTTTCCTATTTCAAGCCACCAAACTCCCACCTTGAAAGCAAAAGAATGGCGTTTCATTAAATTGTGCCCAGAAAATAATGGTCTGCCTAGCCATTTCTAGAGGCTGACTTTATTACCTTATTATTTACGAGTCTCTTTGACCATCCTGCTTTCGAAATTCCTAGGATTAGGCACGATGATCTACTTGAGCATTGCCACGAAATATATATACATATGGCCTATGGACCGCCCCACGAGAGTTTTCATCGCGCAATATCGCAGTACTGCATTTACAACACGGGTTTCTTCTCCGAGAATAATGTTATATACTTGGCCAATGATAGACCGGAGAAATCGGTCGCCCCGATCGCTTAGTGTTTACACCCGATTTGCCTCTGAATATGTGGAAATATACCGAACTAACAAATCGGATTATCTTATAAAGACTTGGAAAATCATGCCAAAATCCCAAGGACTTAATTTTATATATGTTGACGACCGCCCATTATTTTGGTCACATGTTTGCATTGGAAGATCTTCGTGGTATGTTTTATAATGGAATATGAAACAATATAAAGTAAGACGACAAAACGCAGAAATACCGTGTGATATTGGTTTGACTATGTTCAACAAATCACTACCATGCATGTTTTATATATATATATATGTTAAGACGAGAATGTCCGAGGAAAAACCGGCGCCGTTTTGTCATCCGGGGGCCACTATGAAACGCGTTGACTATTCAGTGGGAATGCTTCCCCTGTGTAGGTGTGACAGATTGTCAAATTAATTAAATATTGTGGCCAGAAATTATGCAAAAGCATAAGAATGTTCTTTGTGTGTCACAAAGAAGCGCATTTTAATGGAAAAATTCCACGTCTTGACCTTTCTTTCAAGAGATAATTTCGTAAATCAGATAAAAAAAAAAGCTTCGAATTTGAAATAATTTGTACATGATAGTGTGGGGAATAGATCTTGCGTTACATAATCCGCACAAATCTGTATCTCAGTTTTATAAGCCTATTGATGGCGTAAATGCTATTTTAACGTAAGATGCGTGATTATTTTGATAGACGAAATGATTTAGGATGTCCAGCCACTGTGATTTTTGGACTCCCCCATCTAACTTGAAGATTGCAAGTACTTGATATGAAAGAGGGGAGTCACATTCATAGTAAATTATTCAATTTCATTTCCCCAGTTGCAAGGGATCTGGAGCTTATTATCTTTCCTAGATAACATATAATCATGGTTCTAGAACCATTGCATCATTCTTAATATTCAATGACAGAGACGGTCGAGGCCCTATGATCCACCCAACTCAACGCCGTACGAAACTTTTCATTTCCTATGAACAAATTTATCACCTTCATTTATTCAATTTTTTATTATTTATTATTCCGTTTCGCACCTTCCATGCAGCTTCCCCTGTCTCTATAAGTTACGGCGGGTCTCTCCAATTCCAAGCAATTCTAGAGAGTGCTGAGAATGATGAAGGCTTCTAGAGTGGTCATCGCCTTGTCTTTGTTAACCCTCCTCTTGATCTCCGACGTGTCTCGAGCCGCTCGGCCGGCCCCGGCTGGAGGCGATGCGTCGGAAACTCGGCCCGAGGTGCGTTATCTCCCCTTTCTCGAAAACAAAAGGCCCTTTTATTCTCTCTTGTTATGTGTTTCTGGATTGATAGAAAGAAGCTCATGGTGATGGAAATTTTGCAGGGTGTTGATGGTGAAGCAGAGAAGGTAGAGGTGGAGCAGTGTGAAGGAGTTGGAGAAGAGGAGTGCTTGATGAGAAGAACCCTCGAAGCTCACCTTGATTACATCTACACTCAGGAGAAAAAACCCTGATGAACATGCGTGCGCGCCCGCACCCATCATGTTCGGTTGATTTATTACCTATGCTTGTTCATTAGTTGTACTTTCGTTCGACATGATTCTGCAGGATTTTGTATGTAAATGTAATACAGATGGCCTAGGCTCTGTCAAATGTCCCTGCTTTGCTCTTTGCCGTGTGGAACATTGGTCAGGGTCTGGTGCCGTAGAGAGCTTGTGTTCTTGATGTATTAGCTTAGCCTTCCTCAAATTTTCGCTCATTCTATTACTCTTGTGATCATCTCGAGTCTTGACTAATTGAATGGAGGGAAATGGCCCAACCCACTTCCAGATAAGCGATCAAATTCAAAGTCTTATCCATACCTTGGTCTACAGGAATGATGGGTGACTGTTAGGGTTGACCAGAAAGCGAATTGGCGTGCTCCTTTCTCTCGTCCTGTCTAACCTCAACCACACTTTGATTGACTGCATCAAACCCTTTCCTTAACTTTGTTGACTTGTCCTTTCTTCCCGATTTCTGCGGACGGTTGATTTCCATCTACAAGGTGTAGTTGTTATCTTCCCAAAATCTCAGTTCCAACGTCATTCTAGCCCGCAGATCAAGCATATAAGAGCCAAGTCGGGTTGAAGTTCAAACCTACAGGGTAGGTGCTTGCTTTCTTCATCTAGAAGACTAGCGGTCTGAGTAACAGCCAAGCAACAAATATTGCAGTATTTCACTCGAGTATTGCGCTTGCCTCAGACTGCATCAATGGTACTGATCCACCATCCTTGCCAAAAAAATAAGTACTCAATCTCAATGTTCTGCTGTGCATAACAGTGCTTAATATGTCCTTAGGGTTTTCGCTAACAGAAACTCGTCATAAACCCGGCGACAATGTTTTTTGCAAATGAACTCTCGGTATATAAATTACTTTCGGAAACTTGTAAATCGCTTATCTCATGTCACCCGGTTCTCGTTCAAGCAAAATCAAATTATCGTGCGACTCACAATCATGTATGTATAACCCTTGCATATTGGATGAAAGATCTCTTATTTTCCTTAACGTGTCTCGACCCGTATCACATGTGTAAAAAGACCCGCATCACAAATCATTAAAAGGATGCAGGCTAAGAAGACGCGCTCGAATCCCGCACGCATGACAAGAAGTGAGACCCATCAGGAAAAGAGAGAAACCCATTGCCATCACACATCATGCCTCAAGCTTATTATTGAGATTAACAAATCATCATACGATAGCAAAAAATCATAGGCGCACATACCCAATGACCTTAACGATGCGCCATGATGCCGGTGAGCACACGCCGGAAGCCTTTTGATCATTATCATCATGGGCCTCTTTCTCTGTATTTTTCTGTGTAGTTTTTGCCCACTGGTGCTCTCAAAAGTTAAGATTAGGCTGACTTTGGTGCGACAAAACGATTCACTATGCTCCGCGATGAAGCGCCTCATTCCCATCGAGCGAAATTGGTGAACGGAACCTCTTTTCCCCTTCTCTAAACTCGTATACATCTCGACTTGTTTATCCAATATCCAACATTAATTGGAGCCCCGTGAATTTTGTAATAGCGAGGCTACTGCAAGTTCCATTCATAGATAGCCGTATAGAAACTAGCCCTCCAGGATTACATAGAGAGAGATTGATTGATTGATTGATAAGGAAATTACTGGGGGATTGCTAGTTGCTATCGAAGTCATCATGCCTAGTTGCCTACTCAAAGAAGGCTGTGTACAAACCTTGGCGTCCACGCCAGCCCAAAGCCATCCATACATGCTGTCCATCATGCATGGCATAAGGAGATCTTGAGTTCGTTTGACGTCGAGCACCGTATTGGAATTATTTAAGAGTTTCTCTCTTTTTACTCTTCGATCAACTTTTAGGGGTTTGTTTATTTTTTATTTTTTATTTTGGTCGTAAAGGGGTTTGTTTATTTAAAAAAAAGGGATAATGACACAAATAGTCTCTGAACTCTGACTCAATGTATAATTTGATCCCTAAATTTTTAATTTGTTCAATGTACTCCCTGAACTTTGGCATAATATGCAATGTGGTCCATGAATTTTTAATTTATTCAATGTGATCCTTGGACTTTTGGTATATGTTCAATTTTTTTTTTTTTGATAATCGAGGTGTCGCGCGGCGGCAGCTAGGCTTAAATCACAAGGTGATATCCGACTAGTCCTCGAGGGGGCTAGCGCAAGATCCCACCACCACGACCCCCACTTAAATCACCGATGGGCGAGTTTGAACCCGAATCTCTCGTGAGAACCGAGCGCAACCAACGCCCACCGATGGGTGGGTGTACATGTTCAATTTAATCCCTGAATTATATGAAAATGTTCAATTTAGTCCTTCTATTAATTCAAGTATAGGGATTATATTGAATATTTTTATATAGTTCAATGACTAAATTGAACATGTACTAAAAGTCCAAGGATCACATTGAACAAATTAAAAGTTCAGGGACCACATTGAACATCAGGTCAAAGTTCAGGGACTACATTAAACAAATTAAAAGTTCAAGGACCAAATTGCATATTGGGCCAGAGTTTAGGGACTGTTTGTGTCATTTTTCCTTAAAAAACGAATGATTTGAATAATATTTTCTTAAAATTGATCTCTTCTGTCGCTTCTAAAAACGAATAAACAAAAAATATTTTCTTCGTTCGCATTGTTTAGACATAAATTGTTGTCGATAATGAAATAATTTTTCGTCGACTAATTATTTCAAGTGATATAAGCGATTATTTTTGGGAAAATATTTTTCAAATTTTTCATTTTTCGTGAAACAAACGAAGTCTAAATTAAAAGTCAAGTTTAAGACATTTGAAAAAAGGAATCGCATATGGAATAGAATATCTTTTCGAAAAGATTATGGATTCTGCCCTGGAATTGTCGGAAGATGGAATATTGTAACGCAACTTTCGATTTTTTCTTTTAACGCGGTTAGAATGGCTCGTTGATAATCGCGCTCAAGCGCCGTATTGAGGTCCCTAACCTTTCTATTAATCTTTGAAATTTACTGTAATCCTAGAAGCTTTCATTTCCTAAAGTATTTCCTAATATAAAACATCAACCTCCAAATTTTTTTATGGATTTCTTTTAGTAAATGATTTCTTTTTCTTTAATTGTAAAAAAAAATAAAAAAAAAAAAATCTATCATGACTTTTCACTTTCCCAGCCCTGCTGTTGTACATTCCAAGGTTCCAGGTTTCGGGGACCGGAATGCTCCTCGGCCGCCATCCTTGTTGGCGCCAGAACCCTGCGTTTCCCGCCATAAAAGCCTCGACTTTCCGGCTCCGGAGGCTGCCAAGCTCAAACCCTTCGCTTCGCTTCGCCGCCGGAGACCGCGAGCCTCGATCTTTCGCCGCCGAAGAGATGGGCAAGCCCAAGCAGTACTGGCTCCTGAAGACCGAGCCGGGCGAGTGGTCCTGGGACGACCAGGTGGCCTCCGACGGCGGCGTCGCCGAGTGGGACGGCGTCAAGAACAAGCAGGCTCAGAAGAACCTCAAGTCCATGCGCCTCCGCGACCTCTGCCTCTTCTACCACTCCGGGGCCAAGGCTCGCCGCGTCGTCGGCGTCGTCGAGGTGGCGCGCCAGTGGTACGAGGAAGGGGACGGCGGCCATGGCGGCGGCGGCGACGGGGCGGTGGACGTGAGGGTGGTGGGGGAGATGAGGAGGCACGTGGAGCTGGCGGAGCTGAAGGGGGACGGAGCGCTCAAGGGGTTCGCGCTGCTGAGGCAGCCGAGGCTGTCGGTGGTGCCGGTGGCGGCGGATGTGTGGGAGAGGATATGCGAGCTGGGAGGTGGGTACGAGGGGGATGGCGGAGATGCGGACGACGGCGACGGTGAGGGCTGAGGAATGAGAGAGGGAACTGTTGCCTTGTAGGTGTTTGTGGAAATGTCGCAGCGGGAAGTGTTTTTTGAGGTTGTGGTGGGATATGTCCCATTTTGTGTTGATTGTAAATATCAGGGGATGCTTAGTCGTGAAAGTCAGTCGTCCCCTTCCTTTTGGCAATCCTGTAAATCGTTGCTCGGCATGCTGCAGACTTCCATGGAATAGATGAACCATTATCTTCCTTAAGAATTCCTCTCTGTTGTTCTTTGTTTTGAATGGGCCATGTTTCACCAAAGATCTTGACAAAACCACGAATTGACCATCAAGCAAATCCCAGCAAAAAAGAAGAAGAAAAAAGTGGGGTTGATTTTCAGGGAATTTCTCTGGCTATTCAAGTGGCACCCCAGTTTCAAACATGGTAAAAGGTTGATTTTTTTATTTTGGTCGAAAGGATAAAAGGTTGATTAATTCGGTGGTAAATCCACACGAAAGTGTTCCGATGTCACTGTCGATTTTGGACGTATCTGATCAAATAAAGGGATTTGATAATTATTTATATGGTAAATAATCTGAAGAGTAAAAAGAGCAAACAAGAGGAAGCGAGCCAGCATTAGAGTGTCCGTCTCCCCAGAAAGAAGCAGAACTGCACCACTGGAGCTTGAGAGCTTTGGGAAACCAAGGAAGCTCCCGAATGCAAGCTCACCAACCCACGTTCCACCGCTTTGTCGCCCTCTCGAACCGATGGTGGCACCGACCGCCGAGCAAGTTTCGAGCTTTTTGCAGCTCCTCGTCTTCTTCGGATTGCTCCAACCAGTCTCGCGGTGGTCTCCCTCGCTTCTTCTCCGACGTCCTCCCTCCTTCCAAGGTTTCCCTCTTTCCATGTGCCCGGGTGTCGGACAGCTCGTGTCGTGTCTTCTGGTGTTAATGGGTTTTCTTTTGTCTGCTTACTGTCCAACTGCAGGGTGGGGTTGTTCGCGTGCAAGGAGATGAATTCTGGCATATGACCAAAGTGTTGAGATTGAGCACAAACGACAGGTATCTTCAGACCTTCGTCTTTTCTAATGCAATGGTTGCTGGATTTTCTTGCACTCTTGCTCTGTGGTAGACAATATGGGGATGATTGTTCGGTTGCCTTCACAATTGTGCTATGATGATAAGGGGTGATTTTAACGAGTTCGAAATGACTTACTTGCATTGCCTGCTTGGGCTATGATCTGCTGAACTTTTGGTCTCTTTATATATCCTGTGGACATTACGTGCGGACCAACTGTTCGACAAAATCTCCCTGTAGTAATTTTATTGTCTAGCTTTGTACACTTGATGAGTACCAAGACGATGGCGTTTATGTTCTTGCGTTTAATATCCCTGCAAGGGTAGAGCTCTTCAATGGGAAGGGAGGATTAGTTAGGGGAAACATTCAGAGTGTTGATAGAGCTGGATTGGACTTTGCTGCTCTGGAAGACCCGAAATTGGTCCCTCGTCAAAGGCCGCAGTGGCATGTATTTGCTGCTTTTGGTGAGTTATTACTGATCTAAGCAAATATTCGGAAGTAGTTCGTTTTTGAAGGCTCAGGACATAATTCCTTTTTTAGCTCATACTTATTGTCGACATTGCTTAGGATCTCTAAAGGGTGGTCGAGCTGATTGGCTTGTTGAGAAATGTACGGTATGTGTCCATGCAATTATGTCTTCTGCTTTCCGCATTTGATAATTAAATTGTCCCTTTGTGCTATGCTTGTTACTATCAATTTGTTCTTTGATTCCCATAGGAGCTGGGGGCTAGCAGCGTAACTCCTCTTTTGACAGAGCGATCTCCTTCAGTCTCAGAAAATAGGGTCGACAGGCTGCAACGGCTCATCTTAGCTGCATCAAAGCAATGTCAGTTATTCATCACCGCATGAGTAGTCTCCATTTATAGAGGTCTTTGTTCATATTAGTTAATTCTTTTTCTTTTGGGGGCTAAATCAATTTATAGTAGTTGTTCCAACTTACGATCTTTTATTGCATTTCAGGTCAGCGGCTTCATGAAATGGTACTTAAGCCTCCACAAAAAATCAACGACATTCTACCTTATGTAAGTTAATATTCCTTGACTGTAAGCCATCACCTTTGAAAAATTTCCCAATTTCGTTCTCATTTAGAAATAGATTTTTCGTTCTTTGATTAAGTATTTAATTTATGTATGGTTTTGTAATTGGATTTTATAGGTTCAGAAGTCAAAGCTATCTTTACTTGCTGTTGCAGAAGCTCCTTCTCTTATGAGTGCATTGACTTCAAGCAGAATTGAACCTGATGGGATTATGATTGTTGGACCTGAAGGAGGTTAGTCCCGTTTTTCTTTTGCTGATTTTCCGGCATATAATTGAGAAAATGCCGACACCTTGTTTGTGTGTGTGTGTTGGGGGGGGGTGGGGGGGCGGGGAGGTGGAGGAGGGGGAGGGGGTGAGGCCATGGATTTGGCTGTGAGGGTCAGGTTGGTGGTGGGTGGTGGCTTGTGCAGATATGTGTGGATGGGTGGGAGAGTGTGCAGGTGACCATGAGTGGTCACTTTGGTTTTCATCCATTTCAATGATACGTCCTTCCTCTAGGAAGGCACCCCCCTACCCCCATGTACATCTCTCTCTTTTTAAGCTAATAGAAAAGGAAAACCATGGAACTCTTTGAAATCTAACTTGTCATATTAAATGATATGCTATATACGGCTTGGGTAGTACCTGATCATATGGACATTGTGAATTTGGATGGTTCTACTTTCCACATATAGGAACAGCTGCTTGCCATCTTGGTTGGCAATTCTTTTGTTCTTAGAGATTCTTGTCTTCTGATTTTAGTCTTTTCTCCTAGCATCTTCAGTCTGTAATGCTCATCTCCTTTTCCTTTGTGACTAACAATTACTTGTTTTACGCTTCTGTTTGTTGTATGTCAGATTTTACTCTGAAAGAGCTGAGTATACTGATGGAAGCAGGTGCTACTGCTGTTGGCCTAGGGCCACATCGCCTACGGGTAGAAACTGCCACAATAGCCCTTCTGGCAACACTCATGTTATGGTCTGATCATCATCAAGTGACTAAAACTTGATTGCTGTTTCATGCCGGTAAGTCGTCTTAGTGCTTTTGGCTTATGCTATTACAATCAGCAATGTGCTCCATATATTCTTTTTATCGGGATGGGTACGTGGTGAGGTGGGGCGGGGCACATCCTCAAGGGGCACAGGTACCCCATATGAGGAAAATTCTCGTTAATTTTTAAAATCGTATATTACGAATATTTATGTGATTGGACCATTATGAGCTCTGCTACTTTAATCTATTCATATTCTATAGCTGGTTACTAAAAAATCACAATCTCACGAGTGTGACTCTACTTATTTGTATTAACCTTTTGGTATTATTAACTTAATAGCAGATATTTTTATTTTTTCCTTTACATTAGAATCAGTGGGTCATACATTAGAATGAATTATATGGCATGATAATCTATATCTTAATGTATTATTTGTAACAAATATGTATTAGTATAACAAATATAACCGGGATGGGGCGGGTTAATGCCATCCCCGCCCGTGTCCCACGTGGCAATTCTCACAGGGAAAAATTGTCCTGTTCGGGATGGGGCAGTGCTGGGTGCCCCATCCCTATTCTTTTTATCATTACAACCAAGATGAGGCCGATGTTCTGGGTCTGCTTTTTTCCCTTCAAGATTCGTGCTTGTCTGCACACGAGACAGATTCACACATGCTTCCAAATGGGCTTTATGATCGAAAGATGCGCTTTACTGGGGAAGGTTGTGCACGGCTATATTACTTTGGAAAACTGACAGGGCGACTTCTCTTCTTGGTCTTTCTTATTATATTGATTGAAAGTTGATTGACCTGAGCAGCATTATAAAACCAAATAATGTGATACCGGCCGCTGATTGGAACATTGCGGTAAAACTCAGAAATACTTGTTGGATAAACTTGTAAAACAATGAACTAACAAGATGAGAATGGGTGGCAATTGCCAATACGTGTTTTGTGTTTCAGTAATAGAATTTTTTGTTACATTATTCGGCTACACATTGTGATGTCTTTATATAATACAAACTAGGGTTACGGAATTAATGAAGAATAAAATCATGATCTCTTCTCTTTGGAAAGAATTGATCTTGCTTGATGAGCGAGTGGTGGAGAGATTGTAGCTGAATCAAGACACGTCATCGTGCTCTTTTCTCTTTGGAAAGAATTGATCTTGCTTGATGAGCGAGTGGTGGAAAGATTGTCGCTGAATCAGGACACGATATCGTTTCCTTTGACACCCCCCTGCAAGCTGATGTGGCGGAACACACAGTAAGCTTGGACTGTAGAAGTCGAAAGCGAGCCGTGGAGAGCCCTTTGGTGAAGATATCGGCAGGTTGATCGGTAGTGGAGATGTACTGAACATGAAGTTGATTTTTGGCGATCCGTTCTCGCACAAAGTGGTAATCAATTTCCACGTGCTTTGTCCGAGCATGAAAGATAGGATTCCCTGTCAGATAAATGGCTGAGATGTTGTCACACCAAAGAACCGGAGGGCCTTGCCAAGAAATACCGAGATCACGTAAGAGAGCCTCGATCCAAATGAGTTGAGCAGTTGTGTCGGCTAAGCTTTTGAATTCGGCCTCTGTGCTGGATCGAGCGACCGTCCGTTGCTTACGGGAACTCCATGAGATAAGATTTGAGCCAAGGAATATGCCAAAGCCGCCAACTGACCGTCTCGTGTCATGGTCCTCAGCCCAACCTGCATCGGAAAAAGCATGGAGATGGAAATTGCGGCTGCGAGTGAAGAGCATGCCATGGTGCTGCGTGCCGCGAACGAAGCGCAATATGCGTTTGACAAACTGCCAATGGACCTCCGTGGGTGCATGCATGAACTGACAGGCAGTGTTGACAGCGAAGGCAATGTCGGGCCGAGTGAGAGTAAGATACTGCAATGCACCCACAGTACTACGATAAAGATACGGGTCCGAGAACAGCTCACCACAATGAGAAGATGGAATATCCGAGCCCGCTACACATGGGGTGGTGACAGGCTTCGCATCCTGCATTTTTGCTCGGGCAAGAAGGTCGGCTGCATATTTTGTCTGGTGAAGAAGAATACCATCCGGAGTGCGTTTTAGTTCGATTCCAAGAAAATAATGAAGTTCACCCAAGTCTTTGATAGCAAATTCCTTTTGTAGAGACTCCAGGAGAGTAGATAATGGAGCTGTAGGGGATCCTGTAATAATGATGTCGTTGACATAGACGAGCAGGAAGATACTGTATTGGGCTGTATGCAGTATAAACAGTGAGGAGTCAGCAGTAGAAGCTACAAAACCTATGGAGACGAGAAAATTACTGAGACGTTGGTGCCAGGCACGTGGAGCTTGTTTCAAGCCATAGAGAGATCGTTTTAGGCGGTAGATATGATGAGGTTGGTGGGGATCAACGAAACCAGGCGATTGATCCATGAATATTTCTTCGGTGAGATGACCATGGAGAAAAGTGTTCTTGACATCTAGTTGTCGGAGTTGCCAACCCCGAGAAAAAGCAACTGCGAGGACTGTACGAATCGTGACATGTTTCACCACCGGACTGAAGGTTTCATTATAGTCGATTCCCCGCGTTGATGAAAGCCCTTTGCGACTAATCCGGCCTTGTACCGTTCAACAGAGCCATGCGCACGAAGCTTGATACGAAAGACCCATTTGCGACCAATGGGCTTACCGTGCTGAGGAGATGGTACAAGCTCCCATGTCTGATTTTTTAGCAATGCGGTGTACTCTTCGGCCATAGCTGCCCGCCAATGCGGGTCTTTTACCGCTTGACTGTAACAAGATGGTGTAGATGGGACGGCTACCAAAGTGGTGAGTGCATAGGTGTGATCCTTTTGCACATGTCGGCGGGGAACGGTGCCGTCTCGAAGTCTAGTCACCATGGGGTGGGCTAGTGGTGCCGTTTGTGGTGGCGGATTGGTAGCCTGCTGGATTGTGGTATGTGTGATAGCTTCAGTGGTAGGAGATGGCACTTCTGGTTGTAGTTGAAGAGATATTGAGCGAGAGGTGGAGGGATTGCCGTGCACAGGTGTCGGCATGTGAGATGCATCAGTCCTCGGCTCCTGCATATGTGAATCATCAGGTTACAAATGTGTCAGTGGGGGAACATAAAGGGGTAACTCCAATGATGCTGGTGGGGACACATTTGATGATTCGTCGGTGATGGGAGCAGCAAACGGAAAAACAGTCTCATCAAAGGTGGCATCTGCAACTGTATAGAACCGTTGTTGTTGTGGAGAATAGCAACGATAACCCTTGACACCTGAGGGATATCCCAAGAAAATACATCGATGTGACCTGGGCTCGAGTTTGTGCTTGGCATAGGTTCGTAGGTTCGGGTAGACAGCGTAACCAAAAACCCGAAGATGCTCAATGGATGGTGCGGTAGAAAAAAGTACTTCCCAAGGGCTACGCTGCTGCAGAACGGGAGTAGGCAGTCGGTTGATAATGTGAACTGCACTTTCAAAAGCAAAATCCCAAAAATGAGAGGGAACAGATGCATGGTGCATCATGGCCAAACCCGTTTCAACCACATATCTATGTTTGCGCTCGGCCGAACCGTTTTGAAGGGCCAGGCGAGGACAGGATGTCCGTTTATAAATGCCACGCTCCTGCAATAATTTTTTAAAAGATGCATAAAGAAATTCTCCGGCACAGTCACTTTGGATGGCTTTAACTCGGGTATTGAGTTGGTTTTCAACAAAGTTTAGAAAGACCACGAAGATATGTAAAAATTGATCACTAGAGTTGAACATATAAAGCCAAGAAAATTTGGAGTAATCATCAATAAAACAAATATAATATTTATTATTTTGATGAGACGTTACAGGAGCTGGCCCCCAAATGTCAAAATGAACTAATTCTATGGGAGCCTTGGATCTATGAAAAGTGGGAGGATGAGGATGACGATGACTCTTACTAGAGGCACATGCCGAGCAAGTTGGTTGAACAACTGACGACTTATTTAACATGCGAGAAATAGTAGAATATGCAGCATGGCCTAAACGATGGTGCCAACGGACAAGGGAGCTGGACTGAGATAGGTAATAAGCTGAAGGAGAAAGCTTGGATTGATCCGACAGTTGATAAAGTCCCTGATTAAGGTTCCCTTGGAAGAGAATCTTGCCCGTACGGCGGCACTTCACAGAAAAACAATTAGGTGAGAAAATGAAATCACAATTATTTTCCTGTGAAAATTGACGAATGGAAAGTAAGTTTTTCTTTATAGAGGGAACAACTAGGACATTGGACAAACGAAAATTTTGAGAAACAAGAGTACCTGTATGGGTTATCGGGAGGCTAGACCCATTACCTATGGTAACGTGTTGGTTGCCTATGTAGGGCTGAAGAGAGGACAATTGAGATGGATTATTTGTGACGTGGTGTGTAGCACCGGAATCTGGATACCACGGGTTCGAAAAGACTGATGGTGGTGGTGGAATTTCAGCAATGTGGAGCTGTGGTGCCGAGCCTAAAGATTGTGGTGGAGGCCCACGATCTCAGCACACATTGGCTCGGTGGCCAAAACGATTACAGATTTGACATCGAACACTACCCCTCCTTTGATTTCTGTAATTTCCTGCATTTGGAGAGTAATTTGGGGCTGAATTTCGAGGGCCAAAGTGCTGTCCACTTTGCGGAAATTGTTGCCCAGGCCGTGGTGACCTATCCACACGAGAAGGAAGCTGTTGAGGTGATTGGTGTGCTGTCCGCGTCATGAACGCTGCTGGAGGGGAGGTGATGGGCTCAAGCAAATCAAGTCGTGCCTCATGAGCCAAGAGCAGCCCGTGTAGAGACTCACGTGTAAGGGATTGGTACTGACTTTGAACGGAGATTGACACTGCTAAATTTTGATATTCCGCTCCAAGTCCCCTGAACAGATGAGTTTGATATTCTTGTGAAGAGATGTTCTTGCCAATCGAGGCAAGTTGATCAACAAGGAAAGCTGCTTGCTGTAGATATTCTGTGATTGTTTGATTTCCCTTGCGGAGAGTTTGAAGTTGCATTCGTAGATGTGTGGCGCGAGCACTGTTACGTGCTTCATATGATTGAGCCAAGAAGGACCATACGGCTGCTGAAGAGCCTAAATTGGAGAGCTGTGCAACGATGTTGTCAGCTGTGGAATTGAGAATCCACCCCAAGGCAATTTGATCTCGGGTAAACCATGTTTCATATGCTGGATTTGGTGAACTTTTGGTGACACCATTCTCACTAATTTCAGTGATAGTGTGTGGAGGGCATGGTTCGGTTCCGTCCACAATTGACAGGAGTCGACTGGCCCGAAGAAAGGGGAGGAGGCGTACCTTCCATATGATGTAATTGTCTCCGGTTAATTTGATACCAACCGCAGGACATGTGATTGATCCAGATGAGCCCCCTGTCGGAGGGATGAGAGGACATGGTGGGATAGCATTCTTGATGAGGTCAGTTGGATTAGCAACACTTGGGATTGGGTTGCTTATTGTTTGATTGCTAGCTGCTGCGTTTGGGGAAGATGGGGATGAATTTAAATCTGATTGGTTTGCCATTTATGCTTTCGCAAGATATGGCTCTGATACCATGTAAAACAATGAACTAACAAGATGAGAATGGGTGGCAATTGCCAATACGTGTTTTGTGTTTCAGTAATAGAATTTTTTGTTACATTATTCGGCTACACATTGTGATGTCTTTATATAATACAAGCTAGGGTTACGGAATTAATGAAGAATAAAATCATGATCTCTTCTCTTTGGAAAGAATTGATCTTGCTTGATGAGCGAGTGGTGGAGAGATTGTAGCTGAATCAAGACACGTCGTCGTGCTCTTTTCTCTTTGGAAAGAATTGATCTTGCTTGATGAGCGAGTGGTGGAGAGATTGTAGCTGAATCAGGACACAATATCGTTTCCTTTGACAAAACTAACCAAAATTAACTATTTGTGACTTGCAGTATCTTCCTCCAGCATGGTGCTCATATCACCCATGCCAAAAGGATGAAGCACTGAGTGTGCATGTTGCAGATGATGCTCCACTTACTGAATCGCGTTTTAACTTGTACTCGCAATCGGAGATACGGCATCCCAATTCCAGCTGCTGCTGCTGCACCACTGAGGTGATTAGAATTCAGATGACTGTTCAGTAGACATGAAAGAAAGACAGCATCGTCGTTCAAGAAATAATTAGCTTTTCTTTTTTTTTTTCTCTTGGTCTTTTTTTCTGGAAGAAAGAAGCCAATTTGATGAGGCACTGATCTAGAAGTCCAGAACAAAAAGGTTAGCAGATCCTGGGTCAAAGCTCAGGCCAATATTGTCGTCGATGTTGCTTTTGTTTGGGTACGGGGAATTCAATGTGTTTGACTCGGGTTTTGGAAGGCGGAGAATGTGAATGTTGGTGCACCTGTGGAAAACTATGAGAGGAGTGTGGAGTCCAAGTGCCGTTCATATTGGCGCATGATATTTTGTTCTAGGTTTCGTTTGTTTCGCGAAAAATAACTGATTTTGGAAAATATTTTTCTAAAAATGACCGTTTGTATCGCTTGGAATAATTAATCAATGAAAAATATTATTATTATCGGCAACGATTTATATCTAAATAATTTCATAGACAATGAAAGGAACGTTCATTTCATAAGCGATAATTTTAAAAAAATATTTTTTAAATTAATTATTTTTTTTTACCGACATGACGGTCTTTTTGATCAACCGAGGGGTGTGATAGGGTCATTTGGTCAATAACTGCTGCTCGTTTGTTCTTTAACTTCTCGGTCATCGTACGTTGGATGGTACTTTCCTATGTGAACTTTGACCAAAGAACTTAAAGTCCTCTTTCTTTAATTATTTAACCCCACCAAGTAACCAAAGTCATAACATTACACCTATCTTTAATTTTTCCCTTTTGTGGATAACGGACCAATGTGCTCCACATTGTTGTTTTGTAGTGGCGCATTCATATTCAAGGGATAGGAATGAATTCATTTTGCTCCACTCTTTTTTGAATTTTTTTGGTCAAAGTCCGTAGAAAGCATTTCAAATCTCTATTGCAATGATTTAACCACAACATAAGTAACGGATTCATTCGAAATTTCAACTCGATTAATCTCTTATACATCCAGATCGTCTCGCTCACATTGAATTGGCAAGACTTTACTCGTGAAAATAAGAGACATTGCCAGATTGGTCATGTTGATATGATATCGGTCTAATTGTCTTCCAAATTCCTAATCCGAAATTGGGATTCTTTTCTACAGGAGGAAATCCATAAAAAATATGTGCGCCCAAATCCAACTGTAGTAAAATCAATATTCGTATCTCTATTGCTTGTATACGTACCATTTACAATTACTAACAAGTGTCTAAGTCTGACTTGCTCACATGTTGAGTTAACATGAATGAAGCAATCGGAAAATTGGCAAGCAAATTTTGCATGGATAAAGTACATTGAATCAAGTCAATCGCCTTCCACGGATTTTGGGACTTTTATTTGGTCCCACCCAGTAAAAGAACACAACCTTTCGCATGAATTCATTTCTTAAACCGTCGTATGATCCATCCACCACATCATTCACGAACTAAGGGCTTGTTTGATGAAACTTACAAATAAGTGTTGAAACTTAATATTAATTTCTTACTAGGTATGGAATTGCAATCATTTTGGTTGGTTCCAGCAATGCAAAAAAATCAAGAACCGAATTTGAAGTGTTGATAATCGTAAGCGCTGAAAATAGAATCAAGAAGTTGCTTGATGATAATTAAAAATCGATAACTCAGTAGTATTAACCTCTTACCAAACATAAAAAAGAGATCATTATCGGTAGGTTCTATCAATATATTTATCAAAATTTCAGTTACCATCAATTATTTCTCTATCGAACGAATTAAGCAACCCCCTCCTTTACTTTCCAGAGTAAATGGATTTTTACTTGTTCTATTTAAGGTCATAAAACAAGCTTAATTTCATCAAATGCTGAATTTCTATTTTTTCATTCAGCACTTTATGGAGTTACCAAGCCCCACAACCCTAAATAAGCAAAGGCGAGGCAAGTGGCGAAATCGCAATATTCATCCAACTACGTGTCGACATTCACACATTTCACTCCATAAAAGACACGCCACACTCCATACGCAAAACTGATGAGAGTGACGACTGCGAGATCACTCCGCAAACTGCACTGCCCGCCCTGAATCGCGCAGAGAGAGAGAGAGAGAGAGAGAGAGAGAGAGAGAAGGATCGGACGTCTCGTCCATCAACCCGGCGGCGATGGCGAACCATCTGGAGGGCTTGGTGGAGACGATAAAGTCGAAGGTGCGGGCCCTGAAGAAGACCAAGAAGCCGTACGTGAAGATGGACAAGAGCTCGAGCGTGAAGGTGGAGATCCGCAGCCGGAAGGCCCGCAAGCTCATCGACAAGACGCTCAAGGTCGCCGATCGACCCGGCAAGCGCAGCCTCTTCTAGACCTCGCCAAATCTCTCTCTCTCTCTAGATCGACGGAGAAGAAACCAAAGGGAGAGATCAGTCGGGTAAAGGAGAGACGATGAAGATGATGGTGATGATGAGTTGGTGTTCCATTAGAAGTTGGCCTCTTTACTTTGGCTTTTCGTTTCTGTTATCGTCGTTTTTCGAGTCTGTACCTGCCGTTTCTGGGTTTCTGATTAGGTTTTAGGATATGACATAGGAATGGAAGCTTTTCGGTGTGCGTGCGGCTTTAGAAAGACGCCGTTTTTTCCAAGTTTGGTTGTACAGAGAAAAAAGGGTTCCGTTGAAACATATCGTCCCGCGAAGCAATGGTCTGTATATCATCAGAGCAAAAACTCGATGGAAACAAATTCACTCAAGAAGAAGAGGAAAATTAAAGATGATCGCTTTGTTCTGCTCCCGAAATGAAATACTGCGCGAGAAAGATGGGTGGTTTTCTTTTTTGCCCGGATCTCGAGCCCGAACTGAAGTTTGTTTGAACGCTGACTGCACGCTGTGTCTACGTGCGCACTGATCTTTCGCATCCGTCTTCTTGTTCCGTCGCATGTAGGAAACGGGTTTTCATGAACCGAGGGATGTAACGTTGCAAATTCCTGGGGAATGAGGAAGGAGTTGGCTCGCGGTCAAAGTATGCGGACTGTCGAGTAAATTCAATGCCATTATTAACTGTGGGGGAGATTCTTCTTGGTCAGATTTGATGTAACTACTAAGAATCACCTAGAGGCGGTGAATAGATGATTTAAAATGTTTTGATCAATTTTTAAAGTGAAAATAAATTATTAATATTAAAGTCTGAAAAACAATCAGATTTTGATCAAACTTTGTGAGAAATGTGCTAGTGTATAGTATATATACAAAATAGGAGTTTAGGGATAGAAAAACTGCACACAAAAGATTATAATGGTTCGGTTTAGATTAAATCTACGTCCACTTTCTCACGCCGCTGGATTTCACTATGTGAGCAAGAACGATTACAAGTTCTGAGTGATATTACTTTGTGAATGATAGGACTCTCTATCTCACACAATCACTCTTACAAAATGTCCCTCAAGATCTCGGTGTTTGACTCAAGAAAGACAAGTAGTAGAATCGGAGTATGCTCAGACTTTAGGTTTGTTGATTCTTGATTTCGTTCTCTGCCTTCTGCTCCTCGTTAATATTATTTTATATTAACCCACTTTCAAACTAGCCGTTGGACAGTTTTCAAAGGATCATCTTCCAATCTTCACTTGGATAGATTTGTATAAAATTGATTGAGTAGTCATTAATTGACAAAATCTGAATCCCGCTGAATTTGATCGCCCATACAACCAGAATCTTGATTTTCATAAATAGAGCTTTATCCGTTTTGAGATATACTTGCCTTAATGCTTGATTGTCAATCAATTTTACTTTAAGATTGAGTTAATTAAAACTTTTCTTTTGTGAAATCTATGCTAGATCACTAGCCGTTATTTTGGTTTTGAGTAGTTTCAGAGTCTGAGTAACTTCTGGTTCTTGCTTCACATCCAGAATTTTAAGTCAGTGTGAGTCTTCAGTAGAGTCTGAATCTTTCAGAGATAGAGTCTAAAGTTCTTTATCTGCTTAATATAACATATGAGTGACTTTTTAGTAAAGTCTAAACTTATCGTTCTGAAAGCCGTAAAGTTTGAATTTTTCTTTTTGGTCTTCGTAAAGTCTGAGTATCTAGAAAGTTTAGTTCTCTCAAAGTATTAAAGTTACAACTTTCAGAATATATGTTCCTGAATCAAAATACTTCAGAGCACGTGTCAGACTTCCAAAATTAACATGGATAATTTTACTGACTTCAAAATTCATTAAAATTTTCCTCAACAAGATTCAGCAGAACAAATTCATGTGTGGGATTTGTTGATTTCCACGTGCTTGGAAGTCACAGGTTTGACGGTGGGGTTGGGTGGCGAAATTTTCAAAGGACTTGACATATGTGTCTGTCGTTTTCTAAAGTCCCTGTGAGCGAATGGACCGGTTTTTGAGGCCAAGCCAAGGGATAAGGAAGAGACTTTTCACCAAAAACGACTTTAGTGGAAGTGGCGGGTCTTCTTCGTATTGGCTTTGCTTGTTGGCAGATCTCAGCTCAACCCTCGAGTTGGTCCCTGCTTGAAGCATGAAAATGGTGGGTTTCACAGATTCACGTTTGAGTTCGGACTGAGCTCTTCTACCTGAACTGATGAACGATCCTCTCTTTCTTTCTGGTGAACTGTGATGGGAGTTCGCACTCGAGTGCCTTGATCGCAGCGGGGGCTGCATCCAAAACGTGAAACAAACGTTGACTTGGGGACCGCATGAGAAGGAAGTATCTGGATGCATATGTGATCACGAATTCCGATGAATGAAAGTCATCTCGAATTCATGGCCCCGCCTAATTCCCTAAACAAATTCAATTTTGATCTATTCCCAATTCCGTCATGAATTTTCTTTTATCTTATAAAAATCACAAACTTTTAATCTAGTCCCGTATTTTTCCACATGTCAAAAAATCGTCATTAATTTATTCAAAATTATCAACATCAAAACTAGTTAGGAGTTCATTATTAGAACCCGCGTTTTCATAAACACCCTTACTTTCGTACAGAACAATAACAGCCGCTTGACTTTGCTAATCTTGAAGAAATTCTTGGCGATCTTTGGACGTGTGGGCAAATTTGGGGCTAGAGTGAAAATACAAGATTTTTTAAGAGGCGAGAATAAGGTTTGGGACAGAATTGACATTGGAATTAGCCCACGTTTCATATTTGGAGGTCTACACGTGCTTTCACGACTCATCCTTAGTTACGTATGATCACTTCTAAGATGCACCATTGGAGACTTTTCTTATAGTTAGAGTTTTTCTTTCTTTTTCTTCCTTTTATGAAGTGTGAAAGTATCCGTCTTTAGCGATGCCTTGGTGGAAAGAACCGTCGATCAAATGGGAAGATTC